TTAAATCAAGTAATTGTGTGCTTTTATTTATTGATAACTAATATGAACTAGTTTTCTTAAGAAGGATAAATAGTGTTGGTAAGAATTTGGGGAGGCACTCTTTCTCTTCTTAAGTTGATATCCTTCTAGCTTTTGTAAAAATATTGCCTTCAAACCCTCAAAATGGCAACCTATTAGCATTTATGTCCTCTGATAACACTTACCCAGATACCCCAGTATAAATTACTAAAATATCTCCATATGGATAAATACAGGTATGTATAAGAGGATAATAGTAACTGTAATAAGTAGTAAAATTAATACCAATTCTAATATGAATTCATTAGTTCAAATTAATTGCCACTAAATATCATAACCACCAGTGGGACTTGACCTTCCTGCTGTTGCATAACATGTGACTTGGTTGATATTAAGTATATATAACTTTATGAATAGATATTGATATGTGTTGATATTGAATATATGACAATTTCAAACAAAATCATAAAGACTAAAAATGTTTGAATGAAATAGTTCAGCAAAAGCTGAGTAGATTTAGCAATATAAACAATTTTTTTATTTTTTTTATTTTTTACAGTGAGAGAAATTCTTTTTTTGGTTTGTTTTTTGAGACAGAGCCTTGCCCTGTTGCCAGGCTGGAGTGCAGTGGCGTGATCTCCGCTAACTGCAACCTCTGCCTCCTGCGTTCAAGTGGTTCTCCTGCCTCAGCCTCCCAAGTGGCTGAGACTACAGGTGTGCACCACCACCCCAGATAATTTTTGTTTTTTTTTTCAGAGATGGGATTTCACCATGTTGGTCAGGATGGTCTTGATCTCTGGACATCATGATCCTCCCGCCTTGGCCTCCCAAAGTGCTGGGATTACGGGTGTGAGACATTGTGCTGGGCAGAGAAATTCTTTTTATTCAAAGTATCTAATGATGGCACCCTGCAGTGGTAATGAAATAAGTCAGAACCTGGGAGTGGTGCTGGCAGAGATGTGGATAGTCACCATTTGGCTATTTAATGGACCAAAGACAGTGTCAAGAGGAAGAGAAATACCCACCCACTGCATTGAAGGAGCTTAAGGAGGGAAAGGAATAGGTAGCATAGCCAGGTGGCATTATGGTCCGCTGGCTCTTGGCCACGTAGAAAGTACTGCTATCTGGGTACACAGTGACTCTTAACTGGGGGCAACATGGCTACCTTTCTGGCCACAACACAGTGCTAAATGCTGCTTTTTAATTTATACATTAATTGGCACTACTTTATTAGTTTTTTGTCTTTAAGAGACTAGAAACAAAGAGCCAGCTAATATTTTCCTTGTTTTCATTTTGGTCTATTTTCCCCTTTTTAACCTTTCCATGCTACAAATGAGTAACCACAAATGGATTTTTCTTCCAAATTTAGAAGATTTGGCAAATATGAGCACACTGTCCATAAATTCACAAAATAGCTTTGGGAGGTAATTCCGATAAAACTGCAAATATCTATACTGACTAAATGCTGGGGATTCTAGCATTTTCATGGTTCATCTTCTGGGCCTCTTTAGTTTTAGGCACCCTTATAAATTTGCAGGATGCTCTTTCAATGGTTATGCTTATGAATTAATGTTTCTAAGGCTGAAATCAGAGCTCTATCAAACTAAACTTTACACAGAGGAAACATATTTAACAGTGAACCCCTAAACTAAGCAACCTAAACTGTAAATGCACAAAATCGAGTAAAAGAAATGATAATAAGAGTTATAAATACCCCAAATCCCCTGAAACTGATAAACAACTTCAGCAAAGTCTCAGGATACAAAATCAATGTGCAAAAATCACATGCATTCCTATACACCAATAACAGACTTAAAGAGAGCCAAATCAAGAACAAACTTCCATTCACAATTGCCACAAAGAGAATACCTGGGAATACAACTAACAAGGAACGTAAAGGACCTCTTCAAGGAGAACGACAAGCCACTGCTCAACGAAATAAGAGAGGATACAAACAGATGGAGAAACATTCCATGTTCATGGTTAGGAAGAATCAATATCGTGAAAATGGCCATACTGCCCAAAGTAATTTACAGATTCAATGCTATCCCCATCAAGCTACCAATGATCTTCTTCACAGAACTGGAAAAAACCACATTAAACTTCATATGGAACCAAAAGAGAGCCCGCATAGCCAAGTCAATTCTAAGCAAAAAGAACAAAGCGGGAGGCATCACACTACCGGACTTCAAACTATACTACAAGGCTACAGTAATCAAAACAGCATGGTACTGGTACCAAAACAGAGATATAGACCAATGGAACAGAACAGAGGTCTCGGACGCAACGCAACATATCTACAACCAACCGATCGTTGACAAACCTGACAAAAACAAGCAATGGGGAAAGGATTCCCTGTTTAATAAATGGTGTTGGGAAAACTGGCTAGCCATGTGCAGAAAGCAGAAACTGGACCCCTTCCTGACACCTTACGCTAAAATTAACTCCAGATGGATTAAAGACTTCAACATAAGACCTAACACCATAAAAACCCTAGAAGAAAATCTAGGCAAAACCATTCAGGGCATAGGTGTAGGCAAAGACTTCATGACCAAAACACCAAAAGCATTGACAACAAAAGCCAAAATAGACAAACGGGACCTAATCAAACTTCACAGCTTCTGCACAGCAAAAGAAACAGTCATTAGAGTGAATCAGCAACCAATAGAATGGGAAAAAATTTTTGCAGTTTACCCATCTGACAAAGGGCTGATATCCAGAATTTACAAAGAACTAAAACAGATTTACAAGAAAAAAACTAACAAGCCCATTCAAAAGTGGGCAAGGGATATGAACAGATACTTTACAAAAGAAGACATACATGAGGCCAAGGAACATATTAAAAAATGCTCATCATCACTGGTCATCAGAGAAATGCAAATCAAAACAACATTGAGATGCCATCTCACGCCAGTCAGAATGGCGATCATTAAAAAATCAGGAGACAACAGATGCTGGAGAGGATGTGGAGAAATAGGAACACTTTTACACTGTTGGTGGGAGTGTAAATTAGTTCAACCATTGTGGAAGCCAGTGTGGCGATTCTTCAAGGACCTAGAAATAGAAATTCCATTTGACCCAGCAATCCCACTACTGGGTATATATCCAAAGGATTATAAATCATTCTACTATAAGGACACGTGCACACGAATGTTCGTTGCAGCACTGTTTACAATAGCAAAGACCTGGAACCAACCCAAATGCCCATCGACGATAGACTGGACAGGGAAAATGTGGCACATATACACCATGGAATATTATGCAGCCATCAAAAACGATGAGTTTGTGTCCTTTGTAGGGACATGGATGAACCTGGAAACCATCATTCTCAGCAAACTGACAGAAGAGCAGAAGATCAAACACCACATGTTCTCACTCATAGGCGAGTGCTGAACAGTGAGAACACATGGACACAGGGAGGGGAGCACTCCACACTGGGGTCAGTTGGGGGGAAATAGGGGAGGGACGATGGGTGGTGGGGAGCTGGGGAGAGATAGCAAGGGAAGGGATGCCAGATGTTGGTGATGGGAGGAAGGCAGCAAATCACACTGCCACGTGTGTACCTATGCAACAATCTTGCATGTTCTTCACATGTACCCCAAAACCTAAAATGCAATAAAATAAATGGGGAAAAAAAAAAAAGAGTTGTAAATACATCTCCCTCCACTACCATAAAAATAACCAAGGCTTGGATCCTGTTGCCAGGTTATAGCATCATAGACATTTACAATGGATTGCATGTGGTCCCGAAGCATCTGTTTATCCCTTCTCACGTCAAAGAAGAGTACTGCAGTCCTGTGCTTAAGGGGGGAAAAATACAAGCAAGAGCAGGAGGTCTCAGACTTTGAGTTCCTTCTGGCTAGGCTCTGGTACAAGAGGCCTGGAGTGTTTGGTCATTATCCATAATGTGAAGAACCAATGGTTAGAAAACACCAAAGACGGTGCTTCTGTGATCTTCATATTAACTATGTCACTAGTTTTAACAGATAAATGAGGCTGAGTGCAGTGGCTCACGCCTGTAATCCCAGCACTTTTCAGAGGTTGAGGTGGGCGGATCATGTGAGATCAGGAGTTTGAGACCAGCCTGGCCAACATGGTGAAACCCTATCTCTGCAAAAAATATGAAAATTAGTCAGGCGTGGTAGTGCTCGCCTGGTCCCAGCTACTCGAGAGGCTGAGGCAGGAGAATTGCTTAATCTCAGGTGGTGGAAGCTGCAGTGAGCTGAGATCACACCACTGTACTTCACCTAGGCGACAGAGCAAGGCTCCGTCTCAAAAATAAAAGATAAAAGAACATTCCGGTGATAGACTGGACAGGGAAAATGTGGCACATACACACCATGGAATACTATGCAGCCATAAAAAATGATGAGTTCATGTCCTTTGTAGGGACATGGATGAACCTGGAAACCATCATTCTCAGCAAACTGACACAAGAACAGAAAATCAAACACCGCATGTTCTCACTCATAGGCAGGTGTTGAACAATGAGAACACATGGACACAGGGAGGGGAGCATCACATACGGGGGTCTGTTGGGGGGAAGTAGGGGAGGAACAGTGGGGGGTGGAGATTTGGGGAGGGATAACATGGGGAGAAATGCCAGATATAGGTGATGGGCAGGAAGGCAGCAAACCACATTGCCGTGTATGTACCTATGCAACAATCTTGCATGTTCTTCACATGGACCCCAAAACCTAAAACGCAATAAAAAAAATAAAATAAAATAAAAAAAGAACATTCCATGACCTATGAAGTCCTGATGGATCTTAAGTGTTTCTTCTTGGTTTGTCCTCTAAACTCACAAGATTCTCATCCAAATTTTATTTTTCTTCTCTAGCCCTCCTTTCTCTCTCAGACCCCTAAGCCCACCTTAAGTGGAAGAGTATAATTTATAAATTTTGTGTCAGGTAGAGAATAGGAAACAGTGAGCTAAGAGGGAAATAATATCAGACATAAAAGATGGATTTGCTGAAACTCACCATCAGAGGGCACAACAGTACTGCAATAAACAACTCTCAAATTCTGCCAGGAAGAGAGCCTCTGGTGTACCTAGAAAATACAAAAGATACATCTACTGTCAGAATGGAACAACAAACATATACCTATGTGTGTGTATATAATAAATATGTAAATATGATTACTTAAGTAATATGTATGCTTTGTAGAAAACTTTAAAAATGCAGATAAAAGTCTTTTAAACTCCCATCATCCTAAAATAATAATAGTGAACATTTTGGTATGTTTTGAAGATTTAAGCAAACACATTTACAAATACAAATACAAGTATACATGTTGCATTAAACAGAATTATACAAATCACGTTTTAAAAACACAATATTGATTCTAGGTGCTATCAGGCCTCAAGTAAACTTTATGGCTTTTTCTTCCTCTGGTTATCTTTCAGACCTGCATCTTCTTCATATCTCTTACCAGGTATGAGATAGTTATTAAGAATTTACTGTTATTGGGTAGGCATCTGGTCTTTACGTTCACTCTCCTTTTTTAAAAACTCAGACAGTCAACCTTACTACTTGAGTCCTTAATCATGACTGCCTCAGTGTTAGAAGAAATCATTCACTCACACCCACCTCTACTACTTCCTCCAAGAGCAATGTCACTGTGGATGTGGATCTGGAACTTAGGTTCTCATAACTAAACCACGTCTCAGAATGAACACTGAATTCATTTCTCACTTGCCAAATGCTTAATTTATTCCTTTGTATCTTTTACTTTCCCAGCTCCAAAAAGTATCAAAGGAAGAAGAAGGGGAGGCATTAACTGAATAAAATCCAATATACCAGCTTCAGGTCTGACATATTCCATTCCACCAGCACAAAGAAAAATCATTTAGGACTCTGTGACAATGCACATTTTAATATAGCTTAGTAGATGGCAGGTTTACAGCCTTCATATCACTATCATTAATTTCTATATCATTTCAACTTGAGAGAGCATGCAGAAAGGTAAGACTGACATTTATAAAAAATGTAAATAAATCACTTAAAATTACTTGAGACTTGGCTCACAGCTAGTTTAGTTTGAAATCTTTGATTCATTAGGAATTACTTTTAGTCAAAGTTAGTAAGCAGAAATCTAACTAATTTCCCTCTAATGACAACATAGCTGTCCCATACAGTGAATAATATATCTTTTCCTGCCTTATTGGAAATGCTATCTTTAAAATTTTCCAAGTACTTATATGAATTTGGATCTATTTCTGAACTTCTATGCTGCTCATGCTCTAGTGGCCACATTGTTTTAACATTCTAGTCTTACCATATATTTCCCTATCTTGTAGGTTAGTTTTTCCTTATTATTTTTCTTAAGAAATCTCCCAGCTATTCTTGCTTATTTGTTTCTCCATATGAACTTCAGAGTCAGTTTATCTACACCCAAACACACACACACACACACACACACACACACACACACACACACACACAGACACACACAGAGCTATTCGTTTCAAAAAGCAGTATCATGCAGCGGTTAAAAGCACAGAATCTGAAATAATCTTGCCTGAGTTCGCATTGTGGTTCAGTAACTTTAATTGCAACTCTTGGGCAAGTTATTACCTTCTTTGTGCCTCGGTTTTTTTTCACTGAAAAATGAGCAAAAAGTGATACTAACATTACCCATATAAAGTAGTTGTGAGGACTAAATGAGTAATACATGTAAAGTCCCTAGAACATGCCTGGCATAGAGTAAATTCTCAATAAATATTAGTTTATGTCTTGTTTTGAGATATTAACTTCATGAGTTAAAAAAGGGGAAAATAACTTTTAAATGATTTTGATTTTTGCCAAAGAATCTTGTAAGTCTTTCCATTTACGTCTCTATTTGTATTTCTGAGAAGCACTTTAAACTTGTCTTCTTCAGGGCCGGGCGCGGTGGCTCAAGCCTGTAATCCCAGCACTTTGGGAGGCCGAGGCGGGTGGATCATGAGGTCAAGAGATCGAGACCATCCTGGTCAACATGGTGAAACCCCGTCTCTACTAAAAATACAAAAAATTAGCTGGGCATGGTGGTGCGTGCCTGTAATCCCAGCTACTCAGGAGGCTGAGGCAGGAGAATTGCCTGAACCCAGGAGGCGGAGGTTGCGGTGAGCCGAGATCGCGCCATTGCACTCCAGCCTGGGTAACATGAGTGAAACTCCGTCTCAAAAAAAAAAAAAAAAAAAAAAACAAAAAAACTTGTCTTCATGCAGATCTTGTAGGCTCTTTTTCTGCATGCAATGATTTTTGTACAGTCTTATCCAATGTTAGGAACAACCTCTGCACATTTTAGTGTGCATATGCCTTTCTTCAATTTTATTATTCTGAGTTTCTTTGCTTTCGTTTTCTTAGTAATTTGATCTTGGAATGTTTTATAGAAGAGTTAGCCTATTTAATATAACATGCATATTTAATCTCTTATCAGTTATGAAATTTTATGCTATGCTTTCTCAAGTAAAAATAGTTTACTAGCGGCTGGGCATGGTGGCTCACGACGGTAATCACAGCACTTTGGGAGGCTGAGTGAGAGGACTGCTTGAGCCTAGGAGTCAGAAGAAGCTGCAGTGATCTATGATCCTGTCACTGAACTCCAGCCTGGGCAACAGAGTGAGACCTCATCTCTTAAAAAAACATTAAAATAAAATTACTCAATAATTTGTGCATACTTTTAGGTATGTATATATTCCTTCTGATAATAAGAAAGGTTTACTTTTTTGTTCTAGTAGTTAGGTCAGAGTAAAAGTTAAAGTTCTTTTAATGGCCTTTGAAAGTTCAATATTCTCTGATACCCCATTATCTCTGACTTATCTCTTACCACTCTCCCTCCTATATTACTGCTTTAGCCCTTTAGACTCGTCCCTGTTTCCTGAACCCTGCTACGTTTTTGCTTCAGGGTCTTTGCAACAGCTGCTATCTTTGCTTAGAATACTGTTTCTCTACATAACTATCTGGTTCCCTCACTTCCTTCAAATTTTTGCTCAAATTTCATTGTCTGACTAAGGTCTACTTTGGTCACCCACTTCAAAATAACAATCTCGTCAATGGGTACTCTCAATCCTTTTATGCTGTATTTTTCCCCCATACATTTAATACCTCTTAACAAATTATTTGCTTATTACTTTTGTTTCCTCCAACTCATGAAGCAAAAATTTGCATCTCTTTCGGTCACTAGTTATGCTTGGCAAACAACAAGTCCTCAACAAACACATGTTAGGGAAAAAAAATCCCTATATTTTATAGTTTTTTAATATTATAACTAACTAAAATTTTATTAAAAATATGCTTTAACATACAAAAATCCTATCTGTATTATCAGCAATGATGAACTAATACAGTTATGTTTCTTTTTCTTTCCCTCTACCATTTGGTTTAGTTTATTATTTCTCTTAGTGTTTACCTTTTGCTCTAACCTACATATCTATGTATCAACTATAGACTCCCATCCACTCCAATCTTAAGATTTTACTAGATTTATTGATTTCAAATGACATCTTTTGACAGGCTGTTATAAAACATGACAACATCATTTATTTCCTCTTTCCGACTTTCATTACTGCACTGTCAAGGTTTTAACGATTCATATTCTGCTCTGCAAATCTAATTTCCACATTTGTTTTAGTCTTAATTCTATAGATCAATGGACTTTACGTTCACTGCTAATACTTTAGCTGTAGTTTCTCCTTTCATTTTTTGGTTGGCTGCACTTCTTCCTGTAGAAGCAGGACTCATGGGAGCTAAATTTCCTGCAGCTTGGCATGTTAATTTCTAAATTAATCTTTCCTTGGGGATTTGAAAGTTAAAGGATCAGTGTTGAATGCTGCTTTGGAGAAGTATGAGGTCGGCAGCTTCCTCTGGAGAACTGTGCTTGGCTGGCTTTGTCAGGGATCTTCAATCATAGGTGTCATTCCTCAGGGTTTTCCCACACACCTCTACTTGACCTTCACTAGATCTGGCAACCTTCCATTATACAATGTGTTTTGGAATTGCAGAGATCTCCACAGTTGTGCTGAAGATGGGACTTGCATTTTTGTCTTATTTTCCTTCCTATTCTAAGATGTGAGAAGAGAAGGGACAAACTGCTGCCTTTACTGGGCCATTATTTGTTTATATATTAACTTTTAAATACTGACATCTTCAAACACACACAGCAGAAAGCACAGTGTGAAGAAATCCTATGAACCCATCATCTGCTTCTGTATTTATTAACATTTTGTCAAATTCAGTTCATCTATATACCCAGTTTTTTCCTTTCAGTATATCTTAAAAGGAAATCCCAACCATCATATCACTTAAATAGACATACAACGCTGGGCCATTTTCGTAAATTATTCTTAATAATAATAAAAGATGTTTTTGTGGGGCAGAGAATCACATCAATGCATGGCTGCTTATGAGTAGTATTTGTTAGATGATATAGAACATGGGTTGGCAGGCTGGCTGCCTGTTTTTATAAATAAATTGTATTAGAACCTAACAAAGCTCATTCATTTACTTACTCTCTATAGCCCACTCAACTACTTTCACATCACAACAGCCAAACTGAGTAGCTGCAAGAGCTGAGTAGTTCCAACAGAGACAACATGGCCTACAAAGTATCAAATATTTACAACCTGGCCCTTTAAGAAAATGTTTGGCTGGGCGCAGTGGCTCACTTCTATAATCCCGGCACTTTGGGAGGTTGAGGCAGGCGGATCATGAGGTCAGGAGTTCGAGACCAGCCTGGCCAATATGGTGACACCCCGTCTCTACTAAACATACAAAAATTAGCCAGGCGTGGTGGAGCACACCGGTGGTCCCAGCTATTTGGGAAGCTGAGGCAGAAGAATTGCTTGAACCCAGGTGGCAGAGGTTGCAGTGAGATGAGATCCACTGCACTCCAGCCTGGTAACAGAGCAAGACTCTGTCTCAAAGAAAAGAAAAGAAAGGGGGAAAGTGGGAAAGGGGGAAGGGGAAAAAGGGGAAAGGAAAGGAAATGTTTGCTGGTCTTTGCTTATAGAACAGTTTCTGTCGTTTTGGTATAATTCACTTTCCCAAAGTCCTTCCCACCCACTTCTG